GAGGGGGGGCAGAGCCTTTGCCTCCGGCTGGGGTTGATGCTGAGTTTTGTGCTCTCTACGAGCGGCGTGTGCACGGGTCCTTCTGCACCCAGGGAGGAGACGGGCTGTGTGGGGTCTGGCTGCCCTGGTCTGAGGTTGGGGAGCACTTCAGGGACCTGTGGGTGCCGAGGCTTGAGCTGCTGTCAGCAACATCAGGGGATTCAGCATCATTTTAATTATAACTGAGCCAGGAGGGTTGAGTTCTCGTTTCTTCAGGTTGAAATTCAGGGTTCTGGCTTGGGTGACTTACCCAGAAAGATAATTCATTTTAAAATCTTATTTAATGCTTACAGAACAAAGTATTTCCTAATAAATGCTGGAGCATAGAGGAGCTCTAGTTAGAGAGCAGGAGGCATTCTGAAGAAAATGTTCCTACACCAAATACCCATGGAATTAACACCATCCTGGGCTCCCAGCAGGCGAGCGTCCTCAGCTGGGTGTCTGGATGCTGCTTGTTCATGTAGCGAGTCAGTGGTTTGGCAGAGTGTGGGGTGAGAGTTGGTGAAAATGAGGATGACCAGGATTTTATGAGTAACTGAAGATTCACAAGTCCCAAACTGAGGCACTCTCTCCACTTTTCCAGGGAAAGGAGGGTGTGGAGAGGTGGGAGTTGGTCTCTTCTCCCAGGTAACAAGTGATAGAATGAGAGGAAATGGCCTCAAGTTGCACCAGGGGAGGTTTAGATTGGATGTGAGGGAAAAACTTCTTCACCAAAAGGGTGGTCAAGCACTGGAACAGGCTGCCCAGGGAGGTGGTGGAGTCACCTTCCCTGGTGGGATTTAAAAGACGAGTAGACAAGGTGCTCAGGGACATGGTTTAGAGGTGGAATTGGTAGTGTTGGGTTTATGGTTGGACTCGATGATCTTAAAGGTCTTTTCCAACCACTGTGATTCTAAGGATGGTGTGTTCAGGCTCTGTGTGTCCTCTCAGACCACTTCTCTGAGGCCTCTGTGGGCTTTCCAGGGTTTCCATTGGAGCAGGTTGGACACATTCAGCTGCCCTGAGGATGAACACCCTGCTTGGGTGCTGTCACCACTCAGTAACGCAGGTTGGGAGTTGTGCTTCGATGCAGTTGTTAGAGGGTTAAGTTTCACACTTGCGTATTCTCCTCAAAAAGCTTCAGGCTCTTCCCAGATTTCTTTGGGCTAAGAGGGAAAATAAAAACTCCCAAGAGAAAGCAGTCTCTGAACATAAGAGGAGGAGGAGTCTGGCCTCCAGTGGATGGTAACCCTCTGTGTGACGGTGTTTCTGCTGTGGTGCCACAGCGAAGGGAATGAGGTTACATTTCATGTGACAAATTACTGTCACATCAGTCCAAAATCCTGTGTGTGGTCAGGGTGTATCTGCTTGGCTTTCCAAGTACCACACAGATGGAAGAGATGGGACTTGGAGACCTGCTTTGGTCTTTCACTGTGCTGTGGGTATCCTGCAAACTGCTGGGGTCCTGCAATGCAGGGAGTATGGCCCAAAAGCAGAACAGGCACTTCCATGCACAGGTCTGGGGGATCCCCAAGGTATTGGGATGCCAAGAGTATCCAGCAGCTTTGATTTTTGTCTTTTCATGACATGCACTGTCTGGGGCCTGTCTCAGCGTGTGTTTTGTTTGCAATGCAGGGTGAGGAAGGCCCTCCCAGTTTGGAGTATATCCAGGCCAAGGACTTGTTCCCCCCGAAAGAGCTTGTGAAGGAAGAAGAGTCATTGCAGGTAAGGAAGGAAGAAAACCATCTGCTTTGGGATGTGGGAGGCTCAACTCTGGTGTGGTGTGAAACCTGAGGGCAGTTCTCCAGCCCAGGACATGTCCTGGACACCACGGGCTCGCTGGTGCTGTAGGTCCCATTTGGATCAGTGGGTCCTTCCGTGTGCGTGGAGGCTGCTGACGGCAGTTCCGTGCGCCCTGGCCCTGCCGAGACGCTGCGATCTGTACAGCACTGCATCTGCTGCTGGGAGATAGGGCTGGAGCATGATGCAATACCAGAGCCAGCCTGGGCATTCCCTGCCCTCCGCCTGTGCAGACAGCGAGAAATAGTGACGCTGCCTGCGTAGCAATCCGCAGCAGGGAATGCTCTCGGGGACAGATCCAGTCTCAGGGCCAGGCTGTGCTCTGCGTGCAATCACAAGGGCTGATCTGGCCCTAATACACCGTGCTCCTGGCATTTTCCTGCTGCAGAGCTGTTGGAAAGATAAACCTCCATCTGGTGCCAACCTCCTGCTGCAAAAGGCCCTTGAAAGACACCCGGGTACTGTTGCTGCTGCGCAACAAGGACGGTGTTGTGAGCGCTGGGAGCCAAAACCTCCTGGTATTGGGTGCTTCCTTCCACTGCTGCCTTGTCCCTGTGCTCATCATCCTCCTCCTCTGGTTGGAGCCAGGCTCATGTTGTATGTTCTCGCTGCTGCTGCTGCAGTGTTTGAGTTTGCTCTGTGATTCACTTCATCTTGGTAAATGTTGGTGATAAAAGCAAGGACTGAAACAGGGCAACGGGAGGATTGAGCGGAAGGAGCAGACACGGGCTGAGGAGCTGCACAGGGTCAAGGCTGCAGCTCTGCAGGAGGTGAAGCTGCTGAGATGAGTCTGAGCTGAGACTGCCCGGAGAAGAGCAGGATCTGCTTTACCCTTCTCTGTGGAGGACCGTAAAGTTCACCCCTCCCAGAGGGTAATTTGTGTTCAGTAAATAGTTATTCTGAAATCTAAAAGGACGCCGTCAGCTTGATAACAAGCTGTGTTCAGACACCTGCCAGTTTATTCCAGGATTTCCCTCTCTCAATTCTTTCCCTCTCTGTTCTTGCAGTTTTACCATCTCGTTTCTAATCCGTCTCCCTTCTGTTGCTGTGTGAAAGAGCCACGTAAGCAGAAGAAACACATGCCAACTAAAACCAGCTCTGGCCAGCATGCATAAATAAACTGCAGAAATAAAGAGAGTATATTCTGTCAATTAACATTTCTAAAGAGTTTTCAGACAGGTGCCAGTCTCAGGTTGTTATTTTTGCACAAATAACTGAAGAAGGGAGTTGTTAGTACAGTTGTCACTTGTACGTGAAGTCTGAAATCCAGGAAATTCAGTTTTTAAGCAGCAGACACCCAAGCCACAGAAACAGCTTCGAAAAAAAAAGGCAAGGTGGTCTGACTTGTAGTAATGACAGTGTAATGAATTGTTTCTTCACGTGCCCTGTCTGGCTGAAATGATAAATCTTTGTGACATTTTCCCATAATTGGTTGCCAACATCACCTGGTGCAGGTGGCATTCAGGGAACAACGAGGAGTCCATGTAGCTAAGGAAAAAGGAGCCTGATCAGTTTTAGGCTGGTCTATCCTTTTTTCTTTTTTTTCTTTTTTTAATGCAAGAAAAGAAAAGTCAAACTTGTCCATCTGCCAGGTTCCCCTGTTCTAAAAATAGCAACAGCATGTCCGGGCTGATGGGTAAGAACAGACTCGATTATCTGGATTTTTTAACAAAAACTCTAATACAGGTAACTTCATCACAGCTTCCTCAGTTGTACAAATCACTGTACACAGAGATTCCCTCTGAGCCTTGTCAGCAGAAATTGGGCAACTCTTTGCTTTGTTTACTTACCTGGACTGGTGGCACTGAGTCTCCTAGTGCTGCCGAGAGCCCCCTGCACTTAATGACGCAGCAGGATCGCGTATGCAACACGGGCAGAGGATTCTGATGGTGTCAGTCTCTGCCTGGAGCTGTGCAGAGCTCTCCCCAACCTGTCTGAGCCAGCCTGAGGTTGTGTCCTTTATTCTGCCACATGTGCCAGGGCCACCTTTATCCAGGGACTGGAAATCCCTCTGCCTCCATGCAACACCCTTGCTGCCAGATGCCCAGCAAGGTGTGGTGTACGGAGTGTTCATGGTCACACCTCTCCTCTGTGGGTAATTATCCATCAGGAGGTGCTCAGTGGCTCCTTGGAAGAAGATCCATGTGGTGGGGCTGGGCAGTGGGTACCAGTGCTGTTTCATGCTGTTGCCTGCTCTTGGTAGATGAAGAACACGTTGCTGTGAATGATTTCCTGCGGGAGATGCTCTGCGGAGGCAGGAGGAAGAGTGGCTCTTGGCATTGATGGTGCACAAAGTACTCTGCGTGTCTCCTGAATTAGTGATGTTTCCCTTCCAGGTCCCATTCACTGTGTTGCAGGGTGAGGGGGTGGAGTATCTTGGCCATGCAAACGATGCTGTGATCGCCATCTCCAACTACCGGCTTCACATCAAATTCAAGGATTCTGTGATCAATGTGAGTCTGGATCTGTCTGTTCCTGCTGCCTGAACCATAATCTCTCCTAGTATTTTGAGGGGATTTGGGGAGGGGGCATAAGCCATTTCTGTGGTCTGTGGCCTGGGAGCTGTGCCTCTTGAAGGACACCAAGCCTGATGCTGTCTGTAATTGCTGCTGATCATGCAGTTGCTGTTTTGCTGCTGCATTTTGGTGTGTCGATGAGATTTTTCCTTTGGATAATAATTAGATCTTTCCTTTGCTGTTCTCTTTAAATTTAAGCATGAAATTTGGCAAGTTTGAGACTGTTAAGATTTTTTTCAGTCCAACTTTAATGAGGCTTCTACCTGGAGACCATCAACTGCGAGCCAGACAGTGCGAGGCTGAGACTTTCTCTCACTGTCTTGACTTGTCATCTTTTATTGGTGCTTTTCTTTGGCTCAGTTACCTGTGCCTGTGTGGATGGGATTTAGTCAGTAACTGTCCCCAGGTGGGAGACTACCCAGGGACAGAGCAGAAATCAGGATAGTAATTGTTGAAGGAGCCTCTACACTGGGTCATGAAGCTTCATAAACCTTGGAATTTGTAGTTTGAACTAGAAGCTCGTGACTGTTGACAGAGCCACAACTGTGCGATGGGCCTGCAGGGAAGGCTGCTGTGTCTGCTGGGTTACGTGGTGTCTCTTGTCATGCCCCACATCTGTCCCTCGCAGGTGCCTTTGAGGATGATGGAAAGTGTGGAGTGTCGGGATATGTTCCAGCTTCACATCGTCTGCAAGGACTCCAAAGTGATCAGGTATCTGTTTCACTGCTGTGTTGCAGATGTCAGTGCAGGCCGGTTGCCATGATCAGCTCTGGTCCCTCCCTTGGTGCTGCCATTGGAATTGGGCTGTTCCTGGCCAAGGTTGCAACAACCTGGTACTTCCTTGTGGAGCCAAATGTGCAGGGGCCAAATGGATGAGGACAGACTCTTCTCAGTGGTGCCCAGTGACAGGACAAGGGGCAATGGGCACAAACTGGGACACTGACAGTTCCAGACAAACTTAAGGAAAAATTTCTTTCCTGTGAGGGTGCCGGAGCCCTGGGACAGGCTGCCCAGAGAGGGTGTGGAGTCTCCTTCTCTGGAGATGTTCAAACCCACCTGGACACTTTCCTGTGTGACCTGGTGTAGGGACCCTGCTTTGGCAGGGGTGATCTCCTGAGGTCCCTTCCAAGCCCTACGATGCTGTGGTTCTGTTCCTTTTCCTGGTTGAGTGGAGCAGAGCTCTGTATCTCTGCACCTTGGCTGGATGAGCATACCCACTGAAGCTGATTTGCATTTGGTTTTGCAGGTGCCATTTTTCCACCTTTAAGCAGTGCCAGGAGTGGCTAAAGAGGTTAACTCGAGCCATTGCCCGCCCTGCTAAGCCTGAGGACCTCTTTGCATTTGCCTACCATGCGTGGTGCTTAGGAGTCTGTGTTGATGAGGAGGATCAACATGCACATCTCTGCCGTCCAGGTAAGCTCCTGCCCTGTCCCTTTCCTGCTCTTCTCTCCAGAAGCACTGCAGTGCAGTTTTGTCTGGCTATGTTTTAAGCTCTGCTGTAGCCATAGCTCAAGTTGATCTTGCTGAGAGGCATCCTGTGTCTGGTGTAGAGATCCAGCTGATGGCCAGGTGCAGCTGGATAACAAGCACAATAGAAGGAATAATAGTAATAAAGACAATAAGAAACGTTCTGAGCCAGCAACACCTAAGCAAGCAGCTTTTCCCTTTCTCCTTGCAAATGGAGAAAACATCCCATACTTTAGTGCTCTCATCATGATGATGGAGAGCTCAAGCAGGCTTGTCCCTAGGTGGTCAACATCATCAGCTTTGAGGCAGCATAATTATGAGTCCACCTGCCTCTCTTCTTCCCACACCTAGAGATGTGATGACATTCCCATGGTCAGGTCTGCAGAGGTGTCTGGCTCGTCCTTACACAGGCACAAATCAAATCTTCCAATCCCTGAAGAGAAAAGCAGAGCTGTGATGGTGCCCTCGTGTGGATTGGGATGAGTTTCCCTTCTCCAGGAACACAAAGTTCACTTGCAGTTGCTTTGTCTTTAAATAGCTTCAGCATGAATAAAAGGGGATTAAAATGAGTGCCAAACCTGGCTTTAGACTTAAAAATGTGCTGGTGTGAGAGAAGCAGTAGCCTGAATGAGATGTCCAAACACAGGTTGGGATGGAGGGATGAATAGTACAGCTGAAAGAGATGCCAAAAAGAAGCTGATAGAGAAAAGGTCAACATGTTCTTACCTGTCCCAAACACCAGCGAATAGGAGATGTTTGCTCTGTCTCTGCTTCAGAGAAAGGATTGTCTCTAGTATAAATAAACTTATCTGTGGAAGTTGTTGCTGCAGGATGTGAATGAAGAGCTTTGCAGGGTTTATTTATTAACAACATTGGACATTTGAGCAACAAAGACATCCAGGATTTGAAGGCGAGACTAAAACATGAGAGAGCAAACCCTGAGTCAGCCTCTGAGAGAGCAGTCTGGAAAAAGGAGCTGCCTGGGGTGGGTTCTCCATACTCCTCTGCCACGGGGTTCCTGACATCCCCTTTGGAAGCCATCTCTGCCAGAAGGGCAAAAGAGGATTAAATTAACCCCCCACACTCCACATTGATGTGGGAAGGCTGTTTCCAAGCCACTCTGTGCCCTGAGATTGAGAGGTGATCTGGCTTTACAAAATAAGGAGAAGAACCCCTGTGAGGGACAGATCTTTTTGGCTTCTGAAGCAAGATCCCTGCCATCCCTGTCCTGTAGTTTCTCTCCAGCCTGTGATAGTTGCTGTGGAGCTGCCACTAACACGTGTAGAGTTCATCAGTTCTGCTCAGCTGTCAGTAAATACCCCGTGTTCTGCTCTTCCAGGAGACCATGTGAGATACCGATTTGAGATGGAGCTGGTGAGGATGGGCTTTGATTTGCAGAACGTCTGGCGTGTCTCTGACATCAACAACAATTACAAGTGAGTGTTTCACCACCAGGTTCTCTCCACTTTCCCTTTTCCTTACCTTCTTCCCTTCGCAATCCCTGTGCAGAGCAGTGGATGAGTCAGACTCTAGCTAATCCTCCTTCCTGGCCTTGATAACTCTCGGGCAGGTCAACATATGAGCCAGATCCTCTTTCTTTCTGCCTTTCACATAATGGAGTAGAAACATCAGAGCTAGCAGCAACTGTAAATGCTGACTCCAGTAGTTTATAATGTGGTGGCCATAACTCTTCCTTGAAGACCCTCTGGAGTCTTGGAGGAACTGTCTACTGTAGGGTCACCTTTCTGGTCAGTCATTCTCTCTAAAATGCTCATGCTAGATGAAGTGAAAACCATGAAGTTTTCATCAAGTCAGGCAGCTGTTCAGCTCTGAGAAACTGGGGGTGAGACAGTGGTGGTGGGCTGTCAGGATGTTCAGAAGTCTGGGGGATGAGTGAGCTGGTGCAGAAGAAGCTGAAGGGTGACCCACTTGCAGCCTACAGCTGCTGCAAGGGCGGTTGCAAAGCAGATGGAGTGAAACTCTTCCGACAGTGGCAGATAATTGAACAAGAGACAATGGCTACAAGTGTCAGCTTGGGAGGTTCAGACTGGACATGGGAGGAAAAAAAAACCATTCCCCAGGAGGGTGGTGCCATGCTGGGACAGATCCCAGAGAGGTGGGGCTTCTCCCTCATGACAGCGCTTCATCTCAGATGATCTAGTGTTGGGGGTGGTTCCCTGCGAGCAGGAGGTTGGTGTTGGAGATCTCTAGACTAAAGTCTTTCCCACCAGCACATCAGTGATTCCAGGCTGTCTTCTACTCCTGGAGAAGATCACAGGAGCTCTGGGAAAAGTGCTTCTGCATTCTTTGCAGCAGGTGGCATTAAGCCAGCAGGATTTTATTCAGCTTTGACATACTCATTTCCGCATTCCCTATAATCCTTTTCTTGAAACAACTGGTATTCCTCAGTCTTGTCTCTTACGTCTCAGGCAATAAAAGCATCCCCCATCACCTATATGTCGACCAGTTCCAGGTCACTGGTTCCTTGTGGACACCAGGAGAGCCTCAGGCACGCTGGCCCAGGGAAATCCCGGTGGAGTTTTGCACTTCTGCTGCCTGTTCTCTTCTCTCTCCCTCAAGAATCCAGGCAGCAAGCACTAGATTTGGGGGCTGATTGACAGTTTCTACTTGACCATTCTGACCACATTGTTGCTTTTGAACCATTAACATGACTTTGGTGGCATTTATGCAGTTTCTCCAATGATGGGAAATAAAGATTGTTTTCCTGAACTGTTCAGTTTTGGAGAGCACAACCTGTAGGTCCTGCCCTAGGTGGAGTCTCTACGTGACTTTGAGAGCCGTCCAGCTTTCTCCACTGCTCAGTTTTGGGATGTGGTTCCCTCTGACTCTTTCAGAAAGTTCAACCTAGATTGACTATCCATGGCCAGTAATACACAGCAATTAGCCAACTTCTCTAAAGACAGATGTTTTATTTCCAACCAAACCAGGAAAGAAAGAACTTGAAACAACCCACAGCAGCTGGATGCAGGCCTGGCTTTGCTTCCCTCCATCTGCCAAGTTCCTACCTGGGGATCCTGGCAGGTCGCAGCTTCCTGCAGACATCCCGAGATCTCACAGGTGATCTGGTTTGCTTGTGCAACTCAGAAACCAGTTCTTCTCTCTTGCTGCTTTGGGGAGTGTGTCTTTAAGTCCTGCCCTGGCTTTTGGTCATTACCACCTGCCTCTATTCACAGGAATCAGGTTACTTTTTAACTATTTATAGTCCTTTTATCTTTTTATTTCCCAGCGTTGGCAAAACTGTCTTGTTAGAGACAGGATACTCCAAGGTAATGACTTTGTTCATTGTTCTTCAAGTCATCTCCTTATCTGGAAACTATTATCTTCTTCCTGGTGACAACCCTTGTAAAATTAGAGCGATACAAGCATATAATAACCACTCCTTCCATCTTGATAAAAGTTACTATTTCAGCATGCAACGATAAGAAAATTATGACATGATCTCTGCAACTCTCACATCTTCAGTGATCTGTGTAGCCAGAGAAATGGGCACATTCTGGCACTCCCCAGCTGGTGCATCCATTCTACCCAAGGGACGAGTTGTTTCATATCAGCCTTGGTGCTGGAGGGTTTGGTGCACACCTAGTTCCTTCAGAAAGGAAGAAACCATTCACCTTGCCTTCAGCGTCGATGCTCCTTTGTAGCTTTGATCTTTTCACAGTTGTGGTTTTATTTATTTTTGTCTTTATGAGGAAACAGTTGCCTGGAGTTCCGTGTTACAGGTTTAGAGCTTATGTTTCCTGCTTGTTTCTGTGACTGTTCTTAATTCATCTTTTGTCTTATTTTGTTACAATTCTCTCCAAATTTTCATACTATCTTTTGCTTTTATGGGAAAGGTGATAATTAGGTTCTTGCTTGTATTTGCCATGTGTAGACAATAAGTCTACAAGGACTGTTGGGGGTGAGCCCCATGTTTTTGCACCCTGGTCTGGCTGTCTTTGTGGTAAGAAGATGTTGGTCCTTGTCCGTAGGCGTGGCCTGTGCTGGTTGATGTGCTTGTGGAGTTAGAACCACCTTTTTCTGGCATCAAACCTCCCAGTTTCAAAAATTTCATCCTGTGTTTGGGGTCAGCGTGATCCCAGGGGTGTTTTGAGCTGCCCTTCCATGACCTGCATCACTTTGTGTTCATCTCTTTTCCACATGACACACGAGTGTATCGCGCAACACAGGGACAAGTGTGATTCCTCTGAGGAATCCTGGGATTCCTTCCTGGGAGGAAGTTCTAGACCCCCAGGAGATCTCCTCTCAGTCTCTTCTCCAGGCTGAACAAACCAAGTCACTTCAGCCTCTCCTCACACCCTTCCCCTCTAAACCCTTCCCCAATGTTGTGTCCCTCCTCTGGACACTCTCCAGGAGCTTTAGATCCTTTTTCTCCTGTGGTGCCCAAACTCCCCCAGTGCTGGAGGTGAGGCCGCCCCAGTGCAGAGCAGAGCGGGACCATCCCCTCCCTGGCCCGGCTCGCAGTGCAGTGCTGGGTGCCCCCAGGACACGGGTGTCCCTCTGGGCTGCCAGGACACACTGTTGGCTCATGTTCAACTTGCCATGGACCAGAACCCCCAGGTCCCAGCTTAGGACCAAGGAAGCGTTATGTACTTCTGTATTATTTGGCTGGTGGCACCAAGAAGCAGCTGACCCTGCCTTTATCTCATCCATTACCATGATGTTTATGTGTTTTATGTGGAAGCAACACGAGTCTCCTGTGGCAATTTCTGCTCTCGCAGCCTTTCTGCATCTCTTCCAGCCTCTCGTGCATGTCATTGCTCTTGCTCCAGTGGTGGGTAGTGTAGCCCCCATGCTGTCCTGTTTCTCTTTAGGCTTAGGATTTGAGTCCACTCACATTCTGTGTTATTTGTTGATGCTGGTAACTTTTAGCCTCACACTTTTTTACCTTCACATTTTCCTGGAACTTACCACACTGGTCAGTAGCTCAACCTATTCCAGTCTTCCTACAAAACTTGTACCCTGAAATTTAGGGTACCACTAATAATCTTCCTTGTATCAAGTTTATAAGATGGTATTAAGCCAACATACTCATTCATCCTGGCTTTTCAGTTCTTTTGCTTTATTTTTTGGAGTTCTAACCTAGAAGCATAGGTCTCTGTCTTGATCTCATTGCCTTTTTTTACACACCCCACTTAAATTTGGCTTAACTTCTTCAGGCTGTCCTGTTCCCTACCTGAATTTTATTGAATTCTGTCTTATTGTTTTCCTAAGGCTACAGAGGTTTAGTGACTTAACTCTTAGATATTCTCCTGGACCTCTCCTGTACTGACTCTCCCTAATTTTTAATTTAAGACATCTCCCATAATGTTTCTTCTGAAGTGCCAGGGAACTAATTCTATTTTCATTTCGATGAAGCCCATTTTTCCTGTATAGACTCAGCTATTCCAAAAGTTCTTCCAGATCTTAATAGGTGCCAACCCTCTTCCACATACCTTTATTCTCAGTCACACTTTATTCTCCTCTAATTTCCTGACCAAGTTTGCACATGGAATCTGAGGCATTTCAGAGATGTCCAAGACGAGACATCCTACCACAGACATCTTGGTCTTCAACTTCTTACCTGACAGCTTTAATTTTTCTTCCTGGATTCCCCTTCCACACCCTGTTGTTTTTATCCCATAGATCTGCCTTGCCTTCTGCCCGGGGCTTTCTGAGAAGCTGTCTAGACACCATGTGAAGTGTCATCCTCTAGCGTGGCAGGCAGGCAGGCCCTTGCTAGCATCACAGACTAAAGGATACTAAGGTCTGTGTCGTGCCTGTCCCCATCAGCCGGGACAGCCTGGATTCAGCTTCCCCTCTGGAGCTTCCCAGCTGGATAGTTTCACCCCCCTCAGTTGATTTTCCATCTGCCCTGGAACATTCTTTCTAAATGATGTAGGTTACAGCCTAGAGCTGGAGCTGCTCTTTGATGTTCCTTGTCATGTAGGGCTCTGTCTGCCTGAGCCGCGGGAGCTCGGCTGGGCCAGCATCCAGCAGTGCTTTGTCTCTGCAGCCTGTGGCGAGTGGCAGGGGCAGGATGGCAGCTGCAGTGACCAGGAAACCCCTGGATTTTCACCTGTGCTTCATTTTACTCGTATTGCTCTCTCCCCTTCTCATAAGTACTTGCAGTTGGGTTTTTAACATTTTTCTTGGGATTTAAGCATTCACAATCTTGTTGCTTTTTCCCATCTCCTCCACTCCCCACCTACTGAATTTCCCTTTCAGCCCAACTGCTTTACAGAATCACAGAATCACAGCATGGTGGGGGTTGGAAGGGACCTCAGGAGATCATCCAGTCCAACCCCCC